CCACTTCCACCGGGATCAGGGCTTCTGCTCTGCATATAAGAGAGAAAGGTGTCTCTGCCGTGCTTGACTTGGCTGCTTCCAATCTCTTTTTGAGGTTTTGAATGATCACCTTGTTTTTCGACTTCGCTTGGCCATTCGCGCTCGGATGGTATGGTGAATATATGATTCTTTTGATTTTCAAATCCTCAAGGAATTTTGTGACCTTTGTGCCTATGAACTATGGCCCATTGTCTTAGGCTATCTCTTTTGGTATTCTGAATTTGCAAATTATGTTCTCCCACAAGAAATCGACCACCTCGCGCTCGCTGATCTTCTAATAAGGACCTGTTTCGACCCTATTAGAGAAGTAATCGGTTAAAATCAAAAGAAACCTTACCTTGCCGGGAGCTGGTGGCAGTGGACCAACTATATCCATCCCCCATTTCATGAAGGGCCACGGGGATAATATCGAATGCAGTAGCCCTGCCAGTTGGTGAACTAGCGGCACATGGCATTGGCACTTATCGAATGCAGTAGCCCTGCCAGTTGGTGACCTCGGCAATCCAGGCTTAACTTTTGCACGACCACCTCTAGAGGGATACTTGTCATATCTGCATGCGACCATGCAAAACAATCAACATTAATCTTAAGAAATTCTATAGATCCTGACCTGAGCTCGGGGTTTAATCATGTCCCCAAGTGGAACTTCCACTCTAAGAACTTTTCAAACAATGCGACTTGTTCGAGTTCTTCCGCCGTGGATTTAGTTGCATCAGTTTCTTCTGGTACCTGGAAATACCTTGGTCCCTGATAGGATTCCGACGGCTCCTCTCCTCTTTCGACTTTGTTTGGTTCGGGGTCAGGCATCGGTTCATGTAATTGCTATGCCGCATGTTCCTTCCCTTTACTGCTAGAAATCGAGATCGCGTTCATCTCCCTTGCCGCCGGTTAATCTCCTCTTATTTGTTTAATTCCCCCTGGGGTTGGGAATTTTAGAAGTTAATGGTATGTCGATGGCACAACCTTCATCTCGTGTAGCCATGGTCTGCCAAGAATAATGTTTTAGCCCATGTTGCCGTCTACTACTTCAAATAAGGTAGTCTTCATGACCCCTTCGACGTTTGTGGGTAGCAAGATTTCCCCTTGGGTTGTCATACTTGCTAAGTTGAACTCGATGAGGAACTTTGTGGCCAGAATGATACTTCTGGTTAACTCGGTTTATTCCAGCACTCTCCATTGGATGATATTGGCTGAACTTCCTGGGTCCACCAAAACACGTTTAATTTAAAAATCTAAACATTAAGAAAAATTACCAGGGCATCATTATGCGGTAGTAGGAGTCCATCGGCGTCCTCCTCTATGAAGGTGATATCGTCCACGGCGACTTCCCGGAGCCTTTGCTATGAGCCACAGATACCTTTGTCTTTTTTGTTGTTGAAAAGGTTACACCATTAATCTCGTTCCCCCCGAAAATCATGTTGATCGTTAGTCGAGGAGGATATCTCTTATCTTCGAGGGTTCTGCGTTATCCCGGTTGCAGCCGCAGTTATTTTTAGCCCGGTCACTTAAGAACTCTCTGAATTGGCTGTTTTTCAGCAACGTCGCCACCTCCTCGCACAGATGTCAACAGTCCCCAGTCCGGCGGCCGTTAGTCCCATGATACCCACACCATATATTAGGATCCCTTGATTGGGATCAGATCTCATCGGCCTCGCAAACCATTCTTCCTTAATGTTTCTCATCGCCAATACCAGCTCCACCATGTTGACATTGAAATTATACTCGGACAGTCTGGGTAGGTGGAATCCCGGGAGCCTGATAGCTCTTTGTCCTGCAATTATCTGTTATTCTAGCCACAATCAGCTCTCCTATCGGTAGCAAACCTTTCCACCAATCGAAAACCTCTTCCGCATCCTTCGGCCCTTTCGTAAGGCAAAAAACCGGCTCTTAGAAGATTGCCAATCTGTGTCAAAATCATCATTCGACTTCTCCTTATTCTTTTCTCGGTCTCGACCCTTGGCTGATACTAGGAAATAGAGCTGGTTGTCTTCTATTCTTATCTTTGATTCGTCACGGTTGTGGACATATTGCCATATAGTTTCTTGAAACTCGAGCAGGCTTTCTTTCAGTTTTCGAGAAGTGTCAGAGCTCCTCGGCTTCAGCCCCTTAGTAAATGCCTCAGTTGCCAACTCATCTGGCACGACCAGTAGCAGCATCCTTTCCTTCTGAAGTCTGGTCACGAACTCTCGCAGCAATTCGGACTCTCCTTGCGCAATTCTGAATATGTCGACCTTTTGGGCCTGTACCTTCCTGGCCCCGGTGTGGGCCTTGATGAAAGAATCCATGAGCATCTCGGAGGACTCTATTGAATGATCGGGTAAAAGTGAATACCATGTCAGGGCCCCTTTCGTGAGGGTTTCCTCGAACTTCTACGGCAGGACCGACTCAATCTCGTGCATAGCTAAGTCGTTTCCCTTCACCACCGTTGTGTAGGTGGTGATGTGCTCCTGAGGATCCGAAGTCCCATCATATTTTGGTACGTCTAACATTTTGAATCGCTTTGGGATTAACTCAGACGCACTCGGTTTGAATGGTAGCTGGGTGTATTTATTTGAGTCCGGTTCTTTCAACACTAGCGGTGCGCCCGAAATTGTTCCATTCGGACATTTATTTCCCTTATAAACCACATATGCTCCGCTTTAAAGGGATCATTCCCGTTGTTGTTACCAGATCCACTGCCGTTCCCCCTTCCCTGTTGAAGTCGACCACCCCTCGGGGTGTTGTTATCAACCCTTTGCGCTGTTTGATTTACGGGAGCACCGGGAGGAACTGGACCTCTTCCATTCGCGTTGTTGGAAGCACCCGACATTCTTGCCTCAACTCTGTCATGGAAAGTTGAGCTACCCCAGTAGATTTCAACTCCACTAAACTAAGCAAACTTCAGATTACAACCTATTGCAGTCTAGGAATTAAACACTTAATCCTTCACTCCTTACTATAATTCTATTGTTAGCCCTTTGCAATATCTCTATTGCAAAGCAAAACCCTTGACTAATTCTAGTCAAACAACCAAAACAATAGGGGTTAAATGATGTCCTACAAAATACTTCTAAAAATTTGTGTAGGAATACAAGTAAAGAACAAAAGACAAAGACAAAACAAACTCAAGGACTCAAGACATCTTTAGTATTGGGATCTGGTCCTTGGTTCGTAGCAACTTTGTTCTTGAGTTCACATGGAGGAAATAGTGGCAGTTGGCACTTGAATGATAGGTTTTTTTTTTCCAGATTATCAAGTGTTAGGTCAAACATTGTATGATGTGGTTTATATATGAGAGAACATGTGTGAAGAGATAGGAACATTACAGCCTTTGGTTTGGCCTCGAGCAGCAGCAGTTATGCCGCTGCACTGCTGTAAGTCGATACAATGAAACAACTTTTACAACTGTAGAGTTGACTATGCGACAATTGAGGAACTGATCCTATCTATTCCCTTATCTGGTTTCTTGAGAGTTTGGCAAGACGACTGAGTATGCCTCAATAGGCACAAAGGAACTGATTGTATCAGGTTCCTATTAGTTCCTTACTAAAGTTTGACAAATCATCAAAACCATAATGGCATAACTTATCAATTTCCCCTCTTTTAATGATGACAAACTCAGAATTGATATTCCCTTTTTGGAACCAGATTTCTAGCATGTTCCCCCTACAGATCAGACGCCTTCCCCCTGAGAGCCAGATTCCTGTTACCCTGTATGTTGCCCCCTGCAATTATTTTCCCCCTTTTGGCATCATTGGAAAGAAGATTTAATAAGCACATGCAAAAAAAAGTCCAGCAACATTAACTCATGCCACTTGTGTGCACACAACATGGTCAAAATCATAACACAAGAGGTTAATATTAATGCACAAAATAGTCATAGTCAACCCTGATTATCTAGTGTCAGCTTGGCCGAAAACCAAAGAAGGCTTAACCATCCTAGAACTAGGTCCTCGCTCTGCTTTACCATCACTGATGGCAAAGTTCTGGAACCTTCCATCCGTACGATCCAAAACACCCGAACTATCACTATCTCAGTGCTAGCAAACTTAGAAGAATTTGGGATTCTACCTTATCACGTCCAACAACCATGATAATCCTCAAAACATGCAGGTGCTTGTAGTTAATTAGGGTTAAGTTATCCTATAAATACCCCTGTTCTTTCCCATTGTAGCACACATTAGTACACAAAAATGCTAGCAAATTCTCTACTCGTTTAGCATTCAACACTACTGTTGACTATCAATTGATCATTCGGATCGATCAATAAGAATCATTCTCTCTCTCTCGTTATTATTGTTCAGTTACTTACTTTGTCATTATTGTTTTACGTTACGCTCATCATTTTTATAGTGTTAGAGGATCATATTACTTTGGTTTAATGCCTTAATCCTATAAATTCAATTGCTTGACCTAATAATTAAATTTTAGGTTAAACAAGCTAGTGTAAGAAAGAACAAAAAGAGACTTTATAAAAACTAGTGGTCTAAAATAAGTAATAGATATTTGTGTGATATAAATATCTCGCAAAAATAAAGAGAAGTTTAAAGTTGTTTCTTAATACAAAAAGAGGCATAATTTATTTTAGACATACTAAAAAGAATATTGCATCACATCATCATCTGTTGGAACGTAAGTAGTATCATGGACAGGATCAGCGCACGTAAATAAAGAGTGTAGTATCTTTAAAATGAAATGAATAACTGTACAAAAAAAAAAAAAAATGTTAGAAATCTTGCTATGATTAATAATATTAGAGAAAACTAACCTCTAATAAAAGTTGAATTTTCTACAATTCCTCCAACCCATACCCCTACTCCCCCTCACCCTCAATCCTTCATTTCTCTTTCCTTCACTAATTCTTGTTTTCTTCTGTTTTCTTTTACCG